AGAGGGTAGTGGAGAAATGGAACGATCTCCCCCAGTCAGTCGTGGAGGCTACATCCCTGCACCTCTTCAAGAAACGCTTGGCTGATAATTTGTGTCCCCTGTTTTCCCTCGACGGTCTGAATCGGAACTAATATCCCTGGTCCCCACAAATATTTTCTCTGGGACAATGCTACTCAACTGAACCAAGTACTGTTTTAATAGTGAATATTTTCTGTTCGTGTACAGTTATTTCTAACGAGCTGACATGTAATCAATAGGGTTTTCAAAGGCTTTGCCTATTATCCTTACCAAATAAACTGAGTAAACTGAATCAGCAAACATGACTCCATTGCAGTCCAGTTCATTCATACAGTCGTTGACATAAATTAAAAATAGTACTGGTCCGAGTACGGAGCCCTGCGGGACTCCACTCACAACTGGCGCTGGTGTTGACTTCGCACTACCATTACACACAGACTGTGATTGACCAGTCAGAAAGTCCTTTACCCAGTTTAATAGGTTTTCCCTTATCCCTGACTCTCGGACCTTGTAAAGTAACCGGTGGTGTTGAACACTATCAAAGGCTTTCTTGAAATCTATGTAAACGATATCGACCTTTGTTCCTGCGTCTAACGAGCGAGACCACTGTTCCGTTGAATGAAGCATATTAGTAAGGCAGGAGTGATTTCGTCGAAAGCCATGCTGAGAACAAGCAAAGAAATTATTTTCTTCAAGGAACTTCATTATGGATTTTTTGACTATTCTCTCCATGACTTTGCAACAAATGCACGTTAGGCTCACCGGCCGATAAATGTTTGCACTTGTTCTGGATCCACCCTTGTGAATGGGGTATATGTTCGCCACTTTCCAATCAGAGGGGAGAATGCCTCGGTCAAAGGACGACCTAAAGAGGTGCCAAAGCGGTTTGGCGAGTTCGCAAGCCAACTCCTTCAGCACTTTTGCCGGAATTTGGTCTGGGCCCGGAGACTTGCCCTCCTTAAGCGCTAGAAGTTCCTTCCGCACATCTTCTTCCGTGAAGTCAATGTTTTCTATTATTTCGTCGGTTGTCCCAGCAGGAGATCCAGCCTCGTCAAAGTCCGTTTCATCGGTGAAAACCGATACGAAAAACCGGCTTATATTTTCTGCCTTAGCGTCATTTTCCATGATATCCTCATTGTTTTCTCCTTTCAACACTGCGACCGTCTCCTTGTTCTTTAACCTACTGTTTATGTAGCTGAAGAGCACTTTTGGCTTATCGACGGCCCGTTCCATATCTCGCATTTCATACCCCTTCTGCGACCTGCGAATAGCCCACCTTACCTAGTTTCGCATTCGACGAAATTGCTCGTAATGGGATGGTTGTTTTGTTGTTGCATACCTTCGCCATAGTTTGTTCTTCCGGTTTACTTCTTTCTTTATATCCTGCGTTATCCAGGCAGGACGATTATTCTTTTTGACTCTCTTTGTCGGACAGTTTCGATGCATGATGTCTGTTACAACTCCTTTGAGAGTGTTCCAATCAACGTCTGGATGTCCGGAAAGAAAGTCATCCCAGTCCACTGCCGATAATTCCCTTCTCATGGCGGCAAAATCTCCTCGCCAGAAATTCAGTCTAGGCTCAGTCGTATTCGCTTGTTGGCTGCATGGGCGGTATTCCCAAAACAGCATGACATGGTCACTCTTACCGAGCGGTGTTATGGACCTAAGTTCGCCAGGGCTAATTGGGTCTTTTGTAAGGACGAGTTCCAGACAATTCGCTCTTTGGTCCTCTCTGATCCTGGTTGGGAACGCGACGTTTTGTACCAGAAAGAGATTAGCCGTTAGCTTCAAGAGCCTGGAATCGAAGGAATTTCGCGAGCCATCTACTAACAAATTGTTCCAGTCGACCATGGGTGCGTTGAAATCTCCGGTTATCAGTACCTCTTGGTTTTGTGACACCTGTTTAATTAGCCCAAACATCGCCTCGTCAACCTCATCAGTTTGATTGGGCGGCCTGTATACGGTCAGGAAATTCAAATTAGGTGCGCCACGCATCCTCAGTTTTAACCACATTGCTTCACAGTCGCCGGAGCAATCGGTTTTGTGTTCCGACGCGATGATTCCTCTCTTGACGTAGACCGCTTTTCCTCCTCCTTTTCTATGCAGTCTGTCCCGGCGAAAAAGTTGGTATCCCTCAAGTGTTATCTCGGCATCCAAGACTTCGGTCTGGAACCAAGTCTCTGTGATAGAAATGACATCCGGCTGCGTATCTGTTATCCATACTTTCAGCTCATCGAGCTTATGAAACAAACTCTGAGCATTTGCATAAAGAAAGCGGAGCTTAGACCGGGCAGATTCCCGAACGATTCTTGGGCCGAAGTTGATGGATACTTCGCGCGAGTTTTCGGGTCTACTGCTGTTTGATTGGACTGGATGTTAGTGTGTTGTCCGTCGTTTTCTCTGATCGGTTTGTCAGATAGGGGCGTTTTTTCCTTATTATCTGGTTGTTCGTTATGCTCAGTGTTATTGGTTGTTTCCAGAGGAATGAGATCCGAACATTTACGATTTTGCCATTCATTATTCTTAGGTTTTTCTCGCCGGAATTGTATCTTCTGAGGAGTTCGGCCTTGAGTTCCCTCCATTTCTCCCGTTCGGCCGGTGAGAAATCCCGCTGAAAACAAATTGTTGGGTGGGCATTTCGCAGTGCTGGTTTCCCATTCAACAGTAATAGTGCTTGTTCCTCACTTTCGAGAATAATTTTTAATGGTCTGTGATGGCCCGACTCGCCCTCCAAATCCTTAATGGGTCCTATCCTGAAAGCTTTCAATACGGTGATGTTCTCGTTCTCTTGTAATAGGGATTTGAGGTATTGCTGGAATAATTCTATATCGTGGCTTATTCTGTTCTTTGGGATGTCTGAAGAGGACTCAGGCATACCCTTTACAATGATGCATTTATTGCGATCAATAGGCCGCTGTCGTTTATTTTTATACGCACAGTTGGCATCCCGAAAGTTTTTGTTGTCATCAATGTCCCCTTCAGCGACAGTTGTCATGGTATAGCTACCACAGGGTTCCTCGTTTATCGAGGCTTCCTGGTCATGAGGTACCTCTTGCGTCAGTGAGGCATCTTCTTCTCTTCTGTGTGGACTCTGCTCTCCCCTGCTGGCGCTCTGACATACTTGGTCCTTTTGGGATGCTTTGAGACGTCTCCTGGCTTTTTGAGATGCCCTTCGGTTATTTTGCGCTCGCACATGAGATAGGGTCTCGGTTGCGATGGGATCCGTAGACGGGCTGTCTTCTTTTTCAGGGGCTAATACAGTTATTGAAGTCGTATTGGCCTTTTTCCGGTCATCTTCTGAACTTCCCATATCGCCATCTTTCTCCTTTCGGGTGAATAGTGAGGCAGTTTCATCAGCTTCTCCATCTCAAATCTTAAATTCCTTATATCCTTCTACATCTCAAAGATTTTCTGAAGAAGTCTAAAACATGACGTGCAGGTTTCGTCCTCGCATTTAACATCCAATAAAGTTATTAGACTCCTTGCGCGTTTGGCGGGAGGTGATTTGACAGCCGAAGACTTATCGCAATAGTCATTTGCACAGCGTCTTTCTGTTATTTTATTATTTTTCTCAACCCCTATGCTGCGCGTCAATGGCGTGGTGGTAGCGACAATGTTTGCGTCACTATTGTTCCCAGGTTCGAATCTGTCCCGAGGCAGGTTTTTTGCCCAATATCTGAAGGACCCTGAATCGACTGCCATTATTAAGCCAATAATTTTAAAACGTTTTAACGGTATGGAAACGATTTAAAGCGACACCAACGGTATGAAGTAAGTAGAAAACGACTCAGCCGTTATTGTATTTCGGGAATATGGCGGTGCGGCTGTCAGATGTGGTCGGAAGGAGACAGGTTTTCCGGACGAAACTCCCGTTGAAATTCTGTGAGGATCGAGATATTGCTATGAAGAATCGACTTGTTAATCCCGAGAGGCCGTCAGGGTGTCCAGGACTCAGGAGACTCGGAAAAGTTAAATCCCTCGGAGATCGAAAATTTCAAACCGAATTCAAAAGACGCGGTGCCCTATTCGGCAAGTCTGTATTCTCGAAGATCGATCTGGTCCGTGCTTTCCACCAAATTCCCATAGCCCCAGAGGACGTTTCGAAGACGGCCGTTACCACCCTCTTCGGCCTCTTTGAGTTCCTGCGCATGCCGTCTGGACTTCGCAACGCCTCCCACACCTTCCAAAGGTTTGTAGACAGAGTGCTTCGCGGCTTACCGTTTGTCTACGCCTATATCGACGACCTTCTGGTAGCCATCTCCACCACCGAAGAACACATGGAACATCTGGCAACGGTGTTTGACCGCCTTCAACAATTTGGCGTTGTTCTCAACCCGTCAAAGTGCGTCCTCGGTGGGCCCTCCCTAGAATTTCTCGGTCATCTGGTCGACTCCCACGGCATTCGGCCTCTTCCCTCAAAGGTTGCCGCCATTCGGGACTTTCCACCCCCTACCTCGAACCGTCAGTTGCAACGGTTTCTTGGTATGGTGAACTTTTATCGCCGGTTTCTCCCAAACTGTGCCGACACCATCCTACCTCTGATTAGTCTCCTCTCTGGTTCTAAGCACACCTTTGAACTTACATCAGCCGCACTCACGTCATTTGAGCAGGTAAAAGCCCTTCTGGCTGACGCCACCCTCCTGACTCACTTTCACGCTGATGCACCCATATCTTTGATGGTCGATGCGTCCAATGTTGCTGTTGGCGCGGTTCTTCAACAAAGTCTGCCGGATTCTACCGTGCCTTTGGCTTTCTTCTCCAAGAAACTATCCAAGGCCAAAACCCGCTACAGCACATTCGGACGTGAACTTCTCGCCGCTTATCTTATCAAATTGGCGCCCTGAATGTCACGTGAATGACACGTGGGTGGCGGTTGTACGATTGCATTGCGGGGTGGGCGCAGCTGAGACTTGTGTGCTCCGCGTTTGGCTTTGGCGCAGGCAATGCGCAGAGCCTGTCTTCAGTGAGTTCCGCCTGGTCGATCAGTCTCGGGCGAGGTCTCCCCAGTTGGCCGGATTGATTTGCAGACGCTTCAGGGAGGACTTTAGAGTATTCTTGTATCGACAGATTTGGCCTCCTTGGCGGCGAGAACCCGCCGTGACGATGTCTCCGTAGAAGAGTCGTTTGGGTGGTCGCTCGTCGTCCATGCGCGCCAGGTGGCCGCTCCAGCGCAGCTGCATTTGTCTCAGCATGGTGTAAATGCCGACTATCCCAGTCCGTTCCAGCTCATCAGCGTCGGGGATAGGATCCTGCCAGCTCAGTCTCAGTATGTGGCGGAGGCAACTGAGGTGGAAGTGGTTGAGTCGGCGTGCCTGCTTTGTGTACACCATCCAAGTCTCTGCTCCGTACAGCAACGTCGGGAGGATGACGGCCTTGTGCATCTTCAGCTTCGTGGTTAGTTGGAGACCATGACGAATCCAAACTGTGCTTTGGAGGCGGCCGAAGGCTTGAATGGCCTTGGTAATCCAGCGGACCACTTCATTCCCGATTTTCGTGCTGCGGGAAAGGGTGCTGCCTAGATCCGTAAAGTTGTCCTCCACTTGCAGTTGGGTTCCGTTAACGCTGATTTGTGACGCATTGTGAATTGTGTTGGGTGGCGGTTGGTGCATGACAACCGTCTTCGGCGTGTTGATGGTCAGACCGAAGTTCTCTCAGGCGGCGGAGAAGTCCATGCTCCTTTGCATGTCCTCTTCCGAGGTGGTGTTCACGGCGCAGTCGTCGGCGAAGAGAAGTTCGTGAACGGTGGTTGTGGATACGCGCGATTGGAAGTGCATGCGCCGTTGATTCAGGAGGTGACCGTCCGTCCTGTAGGCGATGCGGATCCCGGGGTGCTCATCACGGTGGGCGTCCATCAGCATGGCATAGAGCATAAGACTGAAGAGGGTTGGTGCCAGCACGCATCCCCACTTCAGCCGGTTGGTCACTGCGAATGCCTCGGAGACAGCTCCGTTGTCCGTGACTCGCGCCATCATACCGTCGTGCAGCTGACGCACCATCTGAGTGAGTATTATACCTAAACGCGCCAGTGAGATATGCGATTGTGTCGATTTGGAAAATGCCCTGATTTTGGAACAGACTTTCAGTTTTCATAGATTACAAAGCGAAATATCAGTCGGTTCAGAGAGTGATGACATCACTGATTGCAAAAACCCGGGTAGCGGGAAGGGCATTCAGCGTGTGCTGCAGTAAGTCCTCTCGTTGTTACGATGTAGCCCATTCCACAAGCCGGGCGTCGTGCGCGCCTTTTGCAAATTATGTGAATAAATTGAAGAGCGAGCTGTGTGCTTGCTGCGAGCAGGTTGAATCATCGCTGTTGTTCGGGGTTTCGTAAAGACGAATCCATCTGCAAAGATTATGCAAATGCCACTGTCCAGACTGATTCCACTAGCAGTCGTAGCCGCATTCGGAAGACAGCGAAATGGAAGCGTGTGTTGTGTAGGAAAACTTTTAACAGCATTTTCTTCGGTCTCCTGCTTCGCACACATACATAAATCAAAACAGGTATCGGCGTTCAGTTATGCAAACGCTGTTTCCCGGCGATCAAAACAACCTCCGGTGTTCAATCATGTAAGCGCTGTTTCGTCGTGTAGAAAAAAACATACCTTCACGTTTTCTAATGTAAACATTATGCTGTGTCTGGATTGAGACGCAGGGGCAAGGCTGGCTTTTGATTTGCTATCGCATGTGACATTGGGGTAAACAGGACGATGACGACGTCGTCATCAAAACAGATGATCTGCCCTAAAGCGATGAAGCGTTTGGACGAATGTGTGGGCGTTGTAGATGCTGTGGTTCGATTCATCTGGAAGTTGGTTTAGGTGCCTGTTCAACCACCTGGTAGGACTGGATTCGGGTGAGGCAATGAGTAGCAGTCAGTATTGGATCGTAAGCTTGATAGTTAGGATCTCATTGTAATCGAGTGACAGGACCTTGTAGATGCTGTTATGCGATCAACCTGGGAGGTGATTTAGGTGCGTGTTCAACCACCTGGTAGGAGTGGATTTGGGTGTCGTATCATAAGCTTGGGAATTCGGAACTCAATTGGAATATGGTCAGTCGAGTGACGCGTAGCAAATGTACACTTAGTGTACTTGGCCCTCTTCTAAATCCTCCCAGTGCACTGGATGTGGTAGCTATCTCAATATTACTTGTATTACGAACTAAGAAATTTATTGTTTTGGCGTCTAGAATTTCTAGCTGTGATTCAGACCCCAATGACAGTTCGCCAACGCAATTCCTCCGGAAACTTGCATGAATTAATCTCCTCTCAAACTAAGTCATCATGTATTTTTGCGTCACCCTCCTGTTTTCTTCTTCTTCGGTTTCCGTTTCTTCTTCTTCTTCTTCTTCTTCTTCTACTACTACTACTACTACTACTACTATTACTCAGTATCTGACAGGTATTACATCGAATGATGCCCGAGTAACAAATATGGGGAATCGCAGTGGACTCGACCGAATTCTTCATCTCCCGATGTCCATATTCAAAGCGTTCTTTACGTTCTATTGGGTAGATAGAATGCGTACCGATAAACTCGTTAATTTTTTTCATTTTGATTCGGCTTACTTGTGGGAATGTAGGTTCTGTGCCTTTGAAATGACAAGTTGTCAATCCAAGGTTTTCTTTCGACTAACTTTCGATTGATATTTAATAAAGCCCATGATTTGGAATTACTTCTGTCAACCAAAGAACATGGCAAAACAGGAGTAATTTGCCTTCAGGAGACGTGGTTGAATAGCCAAATTGACTCGGAACTAATCACTCCTTCGTCATTTTGTTGTTTTCTAAATGATAGACCATCTCCAACAAGCAGCAAGTCAAATTGGCGTCCTGAATGTCCGTTGACACGTGGGGGGCGGTTGTGCGATTGCATCGCGGGGTGGGCGCAGCTGAGACTTGTGTGCTCCGCGTTTGGCTTTGGCGCAGGCAATGCGCAGAGCCTGTCTTCACTGAGTTCCGCCTGGTCGATCAGTCTCGGGCGAGGTCTCCCCAGTTGGCCGGATTGATTTGCAGACGCTTTAGGGAGGACTTTAGAGTATTCTTGTATCGACAGATTTGGCCTCCTTGGCGGCGAGAACCCGCCGTGACGATGTCTCCGTAGGAGAGTCGTTTGGGTGGTCGCTCGTCGTCCATGCGCGCCAGGTGGCCGCTCCAGCGCAGCTGCATTTGTCTCAGCATGGGGTAGATGCTGAGGATTCTCATCCGTTCCTGTACATCGGGGGCGTCTGCGGCGGCAGCGATAGGAAGGTTGTCTAGCCGTTGAGCTAGCTCATTGCTGAAATGGAGATGGTGAGCAGGCAAAGACAACAAGGCAACATTCAACTTACCTGGGGGTCGCTTACCTTGTGGTCGCCTGCGAGCCTGTAGGCGAATACGCATCTTCGAGATGACGAGGCGATGGTCGGTCCACCCGTCAGCACCCGCGATCTCCTTCGTCACAAGCACGTCCCGCTGGCCACGCCTTCGGACGAGAACATAGTCCAGCAGGTGCCACTGACGCGACCGAGGATGCCTCCAGGTGGCCTTCTCTCGCTCCGACAGACAGTTTGGCTGTTGCCCTTTACGTACCCTCGTGGGGGACAAAATGTGCTGAGTAAAGAATAACCTGAGCGTTATGTCCAGTAGACGCTGGTCAAAAGTTGGATATGGACGAAGTGTGTAACCTGCACTCCAGTCAATAGGTGGTGAATTAAATTCTTCCATGGTCAAGACGTCCGACCAAACAGCAAATCTTATGACGGGCGTCAGGCATGGGACCGCTTCTTGGCATTCGATAGACTGTCAGGACTGCAAGGCTAGTAAGTCAAGTTGTTTCCAAAGTAACCGCAAATTTATCTGTTTTCTCTGAATGCATTAGTCCGTTCTTTGCGTACATGAGGGTGCCTTCTCTCTTTCTCTCTGATGTCCTGGTCTGTCACTTCTGAACAGCTGGTGTCGGGGCATTGCTAATTCACGGCCGTTCACACGTTGGAACAGTCAGGTTTCTGTCAGTGAAATTTCATCTGGAGATCGATCAGGGAGATGGCTCTTTAGCGCACCAGGTATTGATGCGGTCCGAACCTTCGTCAACAGCGTCAGCTGCGGGGTCATCTGGACCGGACGCCTCCAGATTGAGAATGCTAGGCGATGCCTGACTTAGTTGTTGCAGATGGCACTGTTGGGAGACGCCGTCCTATCCGACTCATTCCCATGCCGCTCTAACGATGAGCGCACATACCGTCCTATCGATCCGCCCACGCGGCGTGTGCTTGTTGAGATCGCGCCAGCCGACGGTCGGGTTGGAGGGGCGCCCAGCCACTCAGATGAGTCAGCAGACCGGTCGACATGCTAAGAGGTCAAGGGCATGATCTGATTGGCTCAAGTGCACGCTACCCTCAGGCATCCTATATCTATCCTTTATCATCAGATTTTGCCGTTAGGAGTTCGGCCATAGACGCGTGTTCTTCACCCATGCTGTTGAGTTCTCTTTTGGGTATTCGATTGCGAAGATTTGTAGGCCGGTCAACTACTAAGCGGTACGGCTGAACATAACAGACATTACAGTCTGTCTGCTGGCTTTTAGTCTGTTTGGAAAAAAACTCAGTGTCTGGAGTCTTTTATCCTAAAACTTCCAGAGGGAATCGACCCGGTTAGCTCTCTTCAAGCTAACAGATGTTTAAGAGGTCTGGGGTGTTGAATCTGACTGATTGTTTACTCGTCTTCTATGACGGAAGGCTTTCAGCACTTCAGTTGCCTCAGTGGGTTCCAAGATATAATTAATAAGACCTTCAAAGGGCGTTTGATCTGCTGAAATCCATTCCTTGGGAGTGTTAGCGTTCGATGTGGAAACTCCCGAATAAAGAGACGTTTCTCCCTGAATACTTCACTCGTATTTTTTGTTGATGTGTCGTTCTTTAAACGGAGCAGCTGTTCTTTCGCAGTTCTGTTGTTTGATCCCTGATTTGACCGACTTGTCAGAAGACGTTGACATGGAGAGCTGCGAACAATGGTTTGCGGATTCGATGATTGCGTAGATACTGTAGAGGAGTGTTCAGATGTTCAATCCCCCTCCCCCCATCAAGCTGGTTGAACTCCATGGCCAACACCTGGCATCCACTGCAAATCCTGCTTGCATGGGGATCGCCTATACAGTCGATGAGACTTTATGAAATGCATCGCGGTCCTAGTGAAGTGGCCTATCGGTCTGCACCGTTGGCCGCTATACCGGTGATCGGCGGATGAAGTCGATCTTGTGGGGCGTCTTCCGGGGAGAAGGGGGGAGGGGGGGTGGTGAAGAATTTTATCATGCTCTTCAGAGTCATGTAGAAGGGAAAATCTACTGAGGTGACGCTTTTCTATGGAGCGTCATCTGCTTAAGTGGAGTTTGCCGAAATACCTCGACAGCGCATAGCCTGGTGCACTTTTTTAGCCTCCAAGCAGTGACAGTGTGTACTCAACGCGTTGCAATCATCAGGTCAGATTCCCAGACAGAATTCCCCAGAGTGAGGGGTTTATTGTACACAGAATCCGGAGTTGCCCTCTCAGGCGGCAGAGGCCGCTGTCGAAGCTAGGACTGGTGTTGACTGCGTCCAGTCATGCCTGAGATTGGGGTGTAGGGGTGTCAGCGGTGGGTTCACGTGAAGGTCGTAGTGGTCGCTCACTTGCTTGCAGGTGAGACTACGCCTAGCGTCCACTTGCTGGCACTCAACTCTCACCTGTGGCTCCACGTAGCTGGGCTCTGCTCA